CCCATCTTAGCGCCTCGGTGCCACTAAAGGGATGAGGCAGACGCCTCTGGAAAGAAATCCATCCTATCCTAAGGGTGATGTCTGACACACCTGGGTGAACTGCCCAGAGATGATACCGATCAGCCTATGTTGACCATAGAGAGTGTCAAAACCATCAGCCTTTAAATGGCTGCAGGGTGTCAAGAGGAATCCCTCTCCCCAGACATCATTCAGGAAACTCACGGTAAGGAAGTCAAACCCTCCTTCTCCACAGTTACATACACACACACACGTATGTATAGACATACAATCCATATACAAATGGTATCAGCACAGCTCCTACCCATGACACTAGGACAATCCCTTAAATAAACTATGTTCCTCCATTTGGCAGATTGGGAGATACTTCTGCAACAGAGGGAAAAGAAGAAGGAAGACACAGAAAGGCTCCAAAGCCGCTACGTGACAGCCAAGTATCTGAACAAGGATGTAAGAGTCATATTTAGCCCCACAAGTTAAACTATCCTGATTCCTAGCTATTGTGTGGTATCTGTGTTTGTACAGATACGACAGAGCTGCTCTGGAATGGGGCTTCATTTAATGGCTGTGATAGGAAAGAAGTTTACTTGAGCAATTTTTTTCTTTTTGGGCGGGATATTTTTTCTTTACTTTAAAAGTCTGTGGCTAAGTGTGTCATACCTGCTCTCTGCAGTTGTGTTGCATTCCACCTCAGGGACGGTTCTGAAATGCCCTGCTTTGTTCATTTGTTTTTAGTGTCACAAGCTGATCCCTGGTAGAGCTTTGCTTGGTAAAGTCATTATGACTCAGCCAAGCATTCTGTCCCCATCCCAAAGTGTTGCCCTTCTGAGAGCAATGTGCTTTTACAAACTGTTTCTTTCCAAGGCCCTTGTGAGGCCACGTCCTTTGAAGTCAATGCTTTCCTGATCACCTCTATGCTTTCAGCACAGAGGAGGAAAGAGAAACTGCCCAGGCTTGGCTTCAGGCATCTTAGCATAAGGCTAAGCTCCCTACACAAACAGCAGCCCTGTAGAAAAGCTGGCTCAAGTGTAACCCATCACCCTGGTCATGCACCTTCCGACTGTCCACAGCCCACTTTTTCATGGGGCCACCAGATCACCACAGACTGCGTGAGGGTGCTACGCTGTGAACATTTTCTCTAGCAGCACAAGCCAAAAAGAAACCCAGTGCTTACTCTGGCAGGCTTAAAAATACCAGGCTCTGTGCTATCAGCATCCTGCACCTCAAAAGCACGTTACAACAGCTGTCTGTGTGGGAATGAGCAGCCACAGGTAAGTCTAAAGATGACGCCTAACCACCAGGCATTACCCCACAGTCTGACAAACGTTCATAAGAAGCAGGACAGCTCATTACCATATTGATGAGTCAGTGTCTGCTGAAAAAAAGCCCTTTTCTCAAGGAATTCCCTATCAGCCCTAGGTGTGCCATAAGTGATTCAGGCTCTCATTAGCCCTAATTAGCTAACTGTTCAAAAGATTTCTCTATTATTCATGGAGCCTGTACCACTGAGCACAAGCCTATCGACTGACAGGTGCTCACTGCAAAGAAATTGTGCTTTTCCAGGGTGATGCTCCTGCAGGGATCACTGTGCCCACCACAGCCCTCCAAGACCTTCTCTAGTTGTTGCAGCCCCTTAGGGTCCTCTGCTGTAAAGCCCCACCACAGACCACTGTGGCAGTATAGAGAATTTCAACATCCCCATGTCTCTTTTTCTCACTACTCCTTTCCCCTAAAATTCTGTAATTCTTCAGTCGTCTCCTCTAGTTATGTGCCAGGTTGCCTTCCCATCCGAGGTGGGTGGGTGTGCTCCCTTCTAAGCAGAGATTTAGTTCCCATCTGATCCACAGGGAGACAGCAAACAGGAATCATAGAAAGAGACCATAATTTTTTTTCTTAGCCCCAGAGCTTTGATGCCCTTCTTGATGCAGATTACAGGCCTGTTACAGATGGCTCAGTGATTTAAAGCACTAGCCTGGGACTCCAGATCCCACCTCCATAAACTTGGAGGTTGACCTTGGCAAAATCTCCTAGGCTGGAATTTCTCCTGCCTGAAAATAGCCCTCTGAAAGCTCAGCAACCAGGCTCCTTCTGCAGCTGGTGGAAAGACAGGGACAGACACACTTTTTTTCACATCTCAGATAGGTATGTAAGGAAAGGGACATGAATCACTCTCTGGAGATACTGGCCTCTCTCTGTATTGACTGCAAATGGCCCTCACATGACTACTTTGCACTTAACCCCTCACAGTTAAATTACGTGAGCAAGGACAAGAATTTTAAAAATATACATGTCCCATGTCTCAATTTCAGAGCGAATTGAGCAGTGCAGTCTAGTAAATACAGGCTTTGGAAGCTCTGCAGTGATATTTCTGCTTTGTAAAACCCAGCAGTAATTTTTCATGGTGAGGTTTAAAATGAGCATGAGATTTTCAGGTGCTATGAAGACATAGACACAACCACTCGGTATTTATTCTCTCTGCTGGTACCAGCTGCAGTCTGTTGCTGGTGGAGGATATTGTTCACAGCAAAGGGGCCACACACCTTTATTTACCGATGCATCCCCAAGACTTTAGGGTCCTAAGAGATGCTCCAGTCTCCTTTATGTGGATCCACTGCAGCTGTCTGAGCTCACTTCAACTCTTGAAAATCTTTGGAGAAGTCTTGTGGAAGGAACACAAGCAAACAAACAAAACAGGCAGCATTGAATAGCTATCTCCAATACCAGCCGCACCTGCTAAATAAGAATATGAAGCTCTGGAGAGAAAGCAACCTCTATGACACCGAGGTGCTAGCCTGGCATTGCTCTTGAGTGTCTTCTCTGCTTGTGCTGTTGACCTCAGACCGTGTGTCCCTCCCAAAACACATTGTCTGTTTGACTGGAGCACCCAGGTTGAACTGTCAATGGGAAGAACAGGAACTTTCAGAGGGTAGTTCTGAGCTGAGATGGGCTGACTTACATCTGAAGGTGCCCAGACCGACGCTGGCGATCAGGAAGCCCAGGACAATGACACATCTTACACAGCCGAGAGCTTAAGGGATGTATCCAAGCACAAATACTTGGTTTTCCAGTAGGACTTGGCCTCTTCCTACCTCAGGGTGACGCAAATTCACATATCTGACCATTGCAATTTCTGTCAGTCTAGAGGACATATAGGACAAGAAAGGAGACTCTTGGTCAGTGTTACCTGCACCAACATCCTCCTGGATAGCCACAAGGAACTAGCCAAAAAAGAAAGTCACTAAGGCTGCCTTAAACTGAAAGCAGGGATCGGACTCAGATTCTGGCCAGAATCAGATTACAGAGTCAAAGAAAAAGAAGACGGACAACAAACTCACCCCCTCCCTCTTCTTTTGCTCCTTGCTTGTTCCTGCACTGAGTGCAGTTGGGCAGAACCTGGGAACCCCCTTGCTCACGATGCCAAAAGTCACCGGTGAGCAAGGTTTTGGGGGTGTCTACTCCTTGCACAACAACATTCATTGCTTTAGACCTTTCAATACATGCTGTAATCCTCCTCCCCCGTACGATCAAGTAAACTGAATGCTTCTTTAGGTTTAGGTTTTACAGTTTCACATCACCTGCCCGTCTATCCAGCCCCGGGCTGACGCTGGTGCACGAAGGTCATCCCAAGGACTCTCGCTGCGGTGGGGACGAGCTGCCGGCAGAGAGAGCCAAAGCATCAGGCAACGAGCACTATGCAGTGCGTTTGCAGGGCTTCACTTAGGGGTGAAGAGAAAGCATCTTCTGACGCTTGAGGACCTTCTTACTAGGGCATTCCGAGCCACAGACATTTTTACCATCCGCCTGTCAGTGTTCCTCTCCGCAAAACAGCCTTTCCTCCAGCCACGCATCCCTTCCCAGCCTTTGCTGCTGCTGCTACGGGCTTTAACGCCGACAGTCAGCCTGTTTGAGCTACCAAAAACCAGGCTCCCACCAGAAGGTGGTGCCCACATCCCACGGAACACGGGACAAGCCTTACACAACCCAGTCCACTTCTGGGCAACGCCTAGAAACCTAGCCACACTTCTTCAAAATCACCAGAGCAAAACCATAGACCAGCCGGTGCCGGAATCCCTCCGAAAGCAGGGCGGCATTGTTGCAGGTGTAACCTGCAGCGTAGCTCACTACGGTGCAGTGCAGACTTTTCTCTGAAGGGTTTACATCTTCATGGACTTTATTAAATGAACACAGCCCTGCAACTGTAATAAGGAGTTTACTAAATCCATAATCCTGCCTGGGTATTCACCTGTTAACTAAAAAGCACACAGCCCTGAACTAACGTGTTTATCTTTGTCTGAAGCCACACGTGGATGCTGATTTCTGTGCAATACTTTCATGCTACTTCAGTTTGCTCTTGATGGTCTGTCAAAGGCAGATGTGGAATGAGGAGCACAGAAAGGCCATAGATTTGCTGTGATATGTGAAATCATCAGGTCAAAACATCAAAAGGGATACAGGCTTCAGCCTCTCCTCTCGTATTTTTTGCCTCCTGCTGTCTGCTGCTGTACTCACAATTTGCATTGCGTCCCGCCAACTCGCTCCTAGCCAGAGATCAGCAGGCTCCCTCCTTGGTAGCTGCAACAGCATGCAGGTACTGCTCAGTTACTTGGCAAAGGTTATGTCCCCGTTCAGCCAGCATCTTGTCACACCCGTCAGCAGGAGCTGGAGCGAGGGTGGGATGCTCCAGGGCATCTACGACACATCCCTCTCCTGCCCTGCAGCTCTGTGCCACAGCTCCATGACAGCAGTGGGTCATTTCCCAGTCCTCATCCCCAAAAGCAGACACCGCTGCCCTGGGCAGCAGCGCCCACCACTCTCAGCAGTGGTTCAGGCAGGTCCCTTCTCCGTTAAACACCCCATCTTTGAAAAAGGATGTCACCAGGGGGCTCTAAAATACAGCAGAAAGTTGCCAGGGCACAACACAAAAGGTTTTCTAACACATGGGCTTTGTGGTTTCAGTTACCTCTTCTAACCACCCATAAAAGATGGAGCTTGGAGAGATTGTTGTGGCCGAACGTCCCAGTGAGACGCAGCTGTACGCGGAGCAGATGCCAAGAACCCAGGACCTGCTGGGGAGAAGCAGAAATCAGATCCACCAAGTTGTTGGGTATCTCACAGGAGAAATGAAAGAATATGGAGAGTGGATGAAAAGTAAGCAGAGTGATATGTCTGGGGCTTTCTGGCTAGGAAGAGCTAGATGGGAACATTTGTATTGCCAACAGCACTTTCAGTGCTGGGGCACAAGACAAGGCAGAACAGCGGCAGCATGGTCTGAACTCACTGCAAACTTCTGGCCTTTTAACCTACATCATTTGATTCTCAGGAAGGGGATCTCACTGCACCCTGTTGCCATTACCATGGCTGCAGGCATAATTCAGCACAGGCAAAAGACGTCTTTTACACTTCATCAGTTATGTGTCATTAGCATCCCGTTCCTTATAGCAGTGCCCAGAATCACACGTCAGGGTTGGGGATTTAGTTTTGTTTGTAAGTGCTTTGGATCAGCGACTGTCTCTTTGTCTGTGTGTGGGCTAATGCGGGGGACTTGACTCCTGATTGTGTGGGCAAAGGCTCTTGTATTACCAGCCGTGGGGGAGGAATGAGCACTTGTGGCTGTTACGTTGCTATAAAATACAAAGCAAGTACTGATCTCAAAGGTTTAGTGTCCAGACAGGAACAATACTTAAGCAGATGGTCCATGTTACCCAGAATCATTAGGGATTTGGGGCTTTGAGAGGCTGTGTAAGGCTGTGGGTCCTCTGTCAAAGCTAGGTTCATTAGCAATACAACTGCAGCAACTGGGGAGAGAAAGAAGAGGCAGACATGTACATCCAGGCTGTGCAGTGGCTATCGGTGGAGGAGGTGGCCTGAGAAGCCTCCATGCAGGGAGCTCAGCAGACTGGCAGTGTGGTCCACAGCTGCAGGGGAACATCTTCTCCTACTTTCTCTTTACTCTAGTGGTCCTTGCTTGGTAGACAGCTTTTCTTACTCAACTTCTTGACAAGCTTTGGCTTCTGCCCACAGGTTATATTTGAATACTTCTAGTTAATACTTGTGTCTGAAACCAAAAGAGTTGCTGATGTGTTTCATAGTTCAGCACCAAACATTAGTAATTATTTCAGAAAAGCCTATTTTTTTTCTCTAAGGAACTCATTCCTACCTGGTTTTAACTGCCTGGCTTCCCAACAACGCACAGCCTGAGGGATGCTTGTGAAGCCATCCCTCAGCTTGCATTCCAGCCTCTTGGGAGGGCTCTCCCAGGGATGCTGAAGAGATGCAGAGTTCCACCCAGCCCTTCAAAGGTCCTCTATTTAAGCTAATCACTTCTGAAAGCAAAACTTCAGACTTGATTGTAAACACAACACAGGGAAGTGGAAATGGACAGAGTGGGGAAGAGAGGAGTTTTTAAGAATAAGTCGTTACCCAAATTCATAGAATCATAGAACCAAAGAATAGTTTGAGTTGGGAGGGACCTTTAAAGGTCATCTAATCCAACCTCCAGCAATGAGCAGGGACTTCTTCAACTAGATCAGGTTGCTCAGAGCCCCTTCTATCATGTTTAATAGGGCACACCAGAACAGAAAGGGTTACATGCTTCCCAGAAGAGTGGCAGAACAAGTCTTCAAATCAGTTTGCCATAGAAGAGCCAGCAGCAAAAAGTTATTGCAGTGTTTCAAGACCCTCCTTGCCCCACAGAGATCATTAGGAGCACTGTACATAGATGCCCTCAGACAGGCTGCCCTCAGCCCCACACACATCCCACCTTCCCCCCTGCACTCACCTGAGGTACTCGAGCTTGGTGCCCCTTTTCTCTGTCCAGGTTCAATAGTCTTCTCTGAAGAGCAATGGCTCTTTGTCCTTTTGGAAATGCGCCTTTCACCTGAGTACGGTCCAAGCTATAGCAACCATTCTTTTAATTCAGATTTTTCAGTTCCCAAAGTACTTTTTTAGACACCTTTCACAGTTTGACCCCATCTCCTGTATGCAGTGTAGCTCCACGTCCTGTGTCCCTAAAACAGCAAGTGTTTCCTTTTCATATTTCCCTATCCATGTAAAAATCAGTTTCAGTCTTTGCCCAATCCCTCTCTGCATCTGAATTATATACACAGAAAGAAACTATCTCCTCATTAAATTTACAGCAGAACCTTAAGCAATCTACCATGCAAGAAAGACTATTCTTCGACAACCATAAATAAACCATTTTTTCATAAATCCCTCTACAAACTTTATAGCAGTGCCCAGTCCATCCCTATTAGCTTTTCAAGTGCCAGATGCAAAACATGCTCAGACAGCCATAAATCAGAGACGGATTTTACAGTGCTGTTGATACATCGCCTCCATTCTGTGGCCAGAAAGCGACTGTAGAGATGAGCGTGCTTTGAGGGAGTCCTTTTAGGGATTCCTGCTGAAACGATGCCTTATCACTGGTTGATTTATTTGATCTCTTCCAGATAAGCCCCTAATGGTCCAGCTGGTGGACTGGCTCTTGCGAGGGACCTCTCAGGTGTTGTTTGTCAACAACCCCCTCAGTGGGCTGATCATCTTAGTGGGGATCTTCGTCCAGAGCCCTTGGTGGACGCTCACGGGCTGTACTGGAATAATCGTGTCAACATTAACTGCACTGGCCCTCAGTCAGGACAGGTAGGTGGTACCTCGCGTCCAGGCGTTGAATAAGAATTGATCGTTACGGTATCAGAAACCCGCTGACGGGTCACAGTCACACATCTGAGTACGTTAGAGACAGCAAACCGGCTTTCCTTACGGATGGTTTGGAAGCAGTTAGGTGTGGACAGAGCTGTGGTCCAGGAAGAGCTGGCCTGTCCCCACAATTGGCTGTCTTTGTGAGAGCAGGCAGTTAGCTCTCACTGGTAGCCATCATCACAGTCATGTAGGTCCTTTGGGTCATGGGAGCCCCTCTGGATCATCATCATTCAGCAACAAACTCTTCCCATCCACACATCAGTGCAATGCAATACGGCAGAAACCTCACCGCTTTTTCATCCTTTCCC